TTCTCAACCCCAAGGCAATGGATATCTCCCAGAGGTTTCCCAGGTATGGTTGAGTTTGGACTAGATTGGTGGATCCTTTCGCTTCGGGCCATCTTTAGAAATCAAATCATGGAAGCTGGTGTGATTTTATTTTGACGGGATTGTCGCACATTGTTCAGACCTGCTCTACCCTTCATTGTATTAACCAAATGTGAAAGCTGCATCCAATTGATTTCAGCTATGAATGGTGATGACACCATGATTAAGCCCGATGAGTAACATACCAGACCCACTGTAAGAGAGTATGTCTCTTTTAATCTGTGAATGTCTGTTCCGGGTCCCTAATTCAGAACAAAGCGATGAGTAGTCAGTGTGCAAAAGAAATAGATGTGATAAAACTTACGGCGTGATTATAGAAGTATTTCAGCCAGTAGTTTTTTATCTCAAGATGGAAATCTTTAGCAACAAAGTGGCCATGTCGACCAGTCGGCGATATTAAGAGCGAGTGGAGGATAACATGGGAAAGATTCTTGGGAAGGACTTTGGTAAGCAGCCGAATCAGTCGAGGGAGATATCGAGAGTAATGAGTCAAGCTGTTGATTCCTTGGATTTTCACACTCCAAGACTTCCACATCAGGAGAAGTCGACCAATATCACCATCCGACATTGCACGATTGGCTTCAACCACGGTGGCGAAATCCCGAAGTCGTAGTACCAGCTGGAGTTTCTTGCTATCTCCATTTTGGCGCGCCAGACGTGTGGCTCGTCCCGAAAAGTAAGCTAAATATACTTTATCAACGGCTTCCTCAAAGAGCTCAACAGTCATATCAACGAGATTGTGAACTGTATCAACAGGCAGATCTAGTTCATCACTTGAACGATGTACATCATAACCTTGTCAGTAAACATATTTATTTGGTGGTAAGAAGCCTTGGGTGAACTCACAATATGCAGCTTGCAATGGTGGCCTCATGTATCTGTTCAATCCATCTGATCATCGAAGTGAAATCTTTCTTAGCAGTTGGTTTGAGTTTACTTCCGCCGAGCTCGACTGCAGTTCGCCACGCTCCTAGATCGTTCTTGTTGTCCGGATTGCCCCAGTGATGTAGTAAAATGGCTTGTCCAATGTTCCACAAAGTGTGGCCCGCACCAGGAATCATTATCAGATGTGATAGACTTTCTTCGGCGAATTTTGCAGGAGTTCTTTGGCTTTGTAATCCGTGAAAATTAAGACAGGTCCCAAGATCCCCTTCCAAGATTTGCAGTCGACTCGAAAAATCCTCAGGGGAGAGGCCGGTCTGTTTACTGATCTCGTCATAAAGGGAAGCAATGCCTTCAGAACCGTTGTCTGATGAATCCATCAGTTTGAGCATGTCGATATCAGGTATTTCGGGCTTGATCTGGTCAATGGCGCTAAGGTTCAATATTGACAGTTTCTTGAACTTCTTGGGACTCTTCATATATCGTAGGAGGACCTGAGCAATTTGATTCTTCAGAGTGAGAGTCCATCGAATTTGTTCATCTTGTGTAGGAAGTAAATCTCCTGAGTTTACAGGCTTTTCACAATCGGATTTGACAAAACCCTGAAAAGCTGGCACTGTACATTCTTCTGAATTTACAAAAGTGAGTAAATCGGGTTTCAGATAATGAACATAACCCCAAGTACCATGGAAAATTTTGCTAGTTGCATCCAATCGCCTAGTGTGTACCCGCTCCATCATGTCCAGATTGTCAATACATATAAGGAAACCGAGAGTCCCAGCAGCTTTGATTTTCTTCTTGATAGACTTTGCGTTATCCTTGGCAAGTACTAAAAGACCACGTAGAGCTGATTTCCGACTTGCACTGAGTCCAATCTGATACAAATACTGGTTTACTCGTTCCGAAACGCCACAGGCAAGCAAAGTGATTGTATTTTGAACTTGAAGGGAATTGCATCGGCGATTAGATCCAAAGGCAAGCATTTGAACAATTGTGAGAGCCATCTGCAGATGATATAAAGGGTCAGTGTGGCATTCTTACCGGGCACTTTCAGAAAATCCTTACCGCTTTCAATCGGGTCTTTGTGTTTTCTGCTTTGTTATTTGATTTGTGATAAACGTCATCTTCAGGCAACTTAGTTTTCGAAGAAAAGTTGTTGTGCAAGGCCAAGCCGGTGTCGGAATCAATGTTGAAGTCCTCTTCGGAACCTGAGCTATCGGAAGTCATTCCAACTCCTGAATGCTTATCAACACCAAGTTTAAAAGATATTAATTCATGGATAAAGTTCATGCTTTTGATGATAGTTGCCTCTCTTTTAACATTGGTTTCGCGGTCAAAGAAAGTTGTATCGAGTTTGTTGATGTTGATGTAAAGACTACCAGTTGGGGGAGATTGTGCTGCTACAATCACCTTGGCCTGTGGAAGGGTAAAATATTATAATTGAGCTCACTTCACTTGTTAGATATCTGTATCAAATACTCAAGTGTACCTTTTTCAAGACCCAATCATTCCATTTCTGTCGACATTGAGGCTTTTCATTAACTAGGTCGTCAATCGCATCAAGAACTTCTTCGGTGGTTTTCCATCCCTTCTTCACGGACCCCACTGTTTCTTACGCCTGACGATCAATTGGTCAGAGGATCGTAGGTAAGCCAGGAGAAATTTCTTGGTGTTGGTTTTGTGTGTTGACATATACCGACAAATCCTTTCGACAAGATCGGGTGTTCCTTCAGGGGTTGGTGCTGATAAACCTTCCAGTGTAGGATCCAGGTGAAAGCTAGTGTCTGATCCTTTGGAACTGCTGTTCATTTCGAATGTTGTCTGAGTACAACTGAGGAATAAGGTGTGAGGAATTCAAAGAAAAGGAAATTGTGTCCGAAATAACAGAAATAATGTATGGGTCAGGAGAGAGAGTCCAAAACTTGATTTAACATATATACAGATGCACATGTACTGTTCTCGCAGCAAAAAAATAAAAAAATAAAAATAAAATCACGATTTTAATGATTTTTGAGGTCCTTTGGACTTTTTGATTTGAAACCTCTTGAGAGGAATCTGAAGAGGCCAAAAGATGGGCAAGACTTTGTTCTATAGTCTGCCCGGATGAAAGTGAGGAGTCATTTTGTGTGACACAGTGAAAATGAGGATTGGAGATGGCCCCTGCCAAATCCAAATCTACTCAGGCTGAAACAACTCGATAAGTCGTAAGTCCCTCCTCCGCAGGCTCCGAAGGACGCCTGCGAGGAGGAGGGACTTAGTTAAGTTAGGTGTGCGGCCCGTTGTGGTCGGTCTCGAGATGGCCCACAAAAAGTACGCCTTGAGGCGGCCTATCAACAAGATGGGCCGCCTGTCAGCCGCCCTGCCCTCGCCCAAATTTGGCCTTAGGACGGGTCTCAGACCCAGGCGGTCGGCTGACGTTTTGCTGACTCAAAACCTACCCGTGGTGTATACTTTCACTTACTCTTACAATCAATCACTTATCTGACCTCATGTTTTCCTCTGAAACCCTTTTGTTTCCTCCAGAATAAGATTATCACTGAAGCTATTATCCTCAGGAACTCGTCAAATCCAAAACAAATTAAGATGGTCAGTTTTTGAAGTCTCACAAAATAATTTCTTGGTGATGTGTAAATGTTGACATGCAGTTTTCACGTTTCTTTGCGCTAGATGTCTCAACAGTATTTCAAACTCCTTGTGGTCTTTTTGGGCCTCATTGCAATGATCGCACCCATTGCCAAAGGCAAAAGCAAAAACAAGCCAAGGATACCCAAGTGTGGCTCCACTGCTGCAACGTGTAAGAAAGGAACACCTTCATGTGTAGGTTATACACCATCGTGTGGCCAGGGGGGCAAATTCAATAAGTGTCCTGAGGGTGTGAAATGTCTTAGGTTTTGATCATGCTGTTCCAGCAAACTTAACAAAGTCCCTTGCCAAAGGCCCAAGCCCCAGTGAGGGACTTACCGCATAAACTGAAATCCTGGCGTGAGAAGTGAGCTGTATTTGCTCTAGATTCTCTACATCTGTTTGTTTTTTTCTCTTTCAATAAACATGTCTTGCAACAAGATTCTGTTTTATGTGGTAAGTCCCTCGCTGGGGCTCGGGCCTTTGGCGAGGGACTTTGTTAAGTTTGCTGGAACAGCGGGAAAAAGAGCAAGGAAAGGTTAATCTTTGTTATTGCACATATATGAAGATAACCAGAGAAAAGATGAAACCTAGGCCTACCTGGAACAGCAGGAGAAAGAGCAAGGAAACATGAAGAAAAAGAGCACCTTTCCTGAGCTGTTCCAGTTAGCCCTAGTTCGCCAATATAGTGAGAGCATCCGCACCAGGCTTGAACCCCAACCTGTCATACAGGCCTGTATTTCGGACGTTTCACACGCTGTATTTTACCTTCAGGAAGAGCAACGAGCACCAGCCAGCCTGGAACAAGCTGGAATCCTCACTTCATGTTCTTACGCACGCCATCCTCTGCCATAACCTTCATATCATGTGATACATACATTATCTCAATCACATTTTATATGATTGGCCAAGAAAACTATGTAGGCAGCTTCAAAAGAGCTTTGAATATCCACAGCACAGAGGGAAATAGGGCCTCGGCAGCTTCAAATTAGGAGCTTTGAATATCCACAGCACAGAGTGAGATAGAGCTTCCTCAATGTCTGTGTACGCCGCAATTATCCCATATCAGGCATACCTTCATTGACCCAAAACAAACCCAATCACCGGCCATTGTTTCTATTTACTACATATAAGTTGGCAGATATCACCAGTGGCCAATATCTCCATCCCCTCATCCAACACCACTTTTACAATTTCTTTGCTCAAATTCCTTTCCGCTCTTTGCCTTGTATATCCTCTTAAATCCTCTTACCATTCATTTTAACTCTATGTCATCTCTCGGCTACTCAACTTTGTTATCAACCTCATCAATATAATGAGCTCCATGAGAAAAGATTTTGTCAATTTCATGGCCCAGTACTCAGTTGGCGCATCTATCCATTCTCAGCATCTGTCCAATCTTTCAAACTTCACTCAAGATATGTTGAACCGGCTCTTGTTGTTGGAGAAAGAAGAAAATTGTCCAACTCCAGGTGGCTCACTCCCCGGCAAAGCCCCTAATCTTCCTCGCAATCCAGAAGCCGGACATATCCTGTGTATGCCAAGGGTCATTTTTGTTGTTGATTCCGCATGAGCCGTCACTTGTTCTTGCACATCATGAACACCCTTGAGAATGACAATGTGTACTTTACACAAAGATATGACTGTACAGGTAAGCATGTGTGGTCCATGGTTGAGAAGTAGATTCAAATCTAACTTTTACCTTGTTTGTATTCAATCTCCAGGAAAAGCTGGAAACTCGCCTCACCAGAAGGTTACAGCCGCTCTGCGCCACCTAGCTTATGGAGCCACTTCTGATCAAACAGATGAGTAATTACAAATTGCTGAATCTACTTCCAGGGAGTGTCTCCTACGGTTTTGCAGCAGTCTCATTTGCTTGTTTGGTCCCCATTACCAATGCAAGCCCAACACCAAAGATGTTCAGCAAACCTTGCCTACAAAACTGAAGGAGGATTTCCCAGAATTCTTGGTTCTTTGGATTGTATGCATTGGCAATGAAAGAATTGCCCTAAAGCACTCAACAGAGATTTTGCTGGGCAATCGGGCAAGCCAACTCTGATTTTCGAAGTTGTTGCTACCCGTGACTTATGGATCTGGCATTTGTTTTTTGGCTTACCCAGAGCTAATAACAACATCAATGTACTTGAGCCTTGCAATCTTTTCCGTGACCTTTCTCAAGGCAACTCCCCCCTTGTAACTTCAAAGTTAATGGCAACAACTACAACACCGGGTATTATCTTGCTGATGGGATATATCCCAAGTGGGCAACACTGATACAATCTTACAGCGCTCCAGACACTCCTAAGTTGACGGTCAGTCTGCTTCCAAAGTTTTTTATCTTTCACTCTTCTCTGATGTTTCTCTTTTTGCATCTTTACCCATAGCATTTTGCCAAAGCGCAAGAAGAGACTCGCAAGGATGTGGAATGGGCCTTTGGTGTGCTGCAAGCACGTTGGCACATTATGAGAGGCGCCGCCAGGATGTGGCAACCATCCTTGCTGTGTTTGATCATGAATGCATGTATCATACTGCATAACATGGTTATTGAAGAGCAAGGTAATCCGGGCTATGAGTTTTTGGAAGATGAAGATGTTAGATTCATTTTACTCTCGGTCCAATCAATTTCAATCTCGACTTCATACCCTCATTGCATCAAACTTCTTCCTACCACCCTCAATCTCATCTCCCTTTCGATTCTGACCCTTCTTTTTGATTTAAATCAATCAATCAAGATCTCCATCTTTCAATTTCAATTTTGATCATTATGTAAGTGAGTTTATTTCAGTTTCTTTTCACTGCCAGCATTAAATAGGTTCCCAGGTGGGAAAGTGACCTAGGCTGGGAACATGATTGAGAGTAAAATGGTCATGAAATCATCTTGCACTGCACAACTGAGCCTTGAAGCATATGCTACATATGTGCAAACATCTGTGTAAATCCTTAGCTATCAGCTACATACACATCAGCTCAGTTATCTGTTCATCTGGATAGGAAAATTACATGTAATACATGCTGTAATTTCGCTCAGATTGTGAGAAGCATTTTGAAAAATTGACTACATATATCACAATGACTACTCAGGCAATATTCCTTAGGCTGTGTAACAGTAACAGAAGGAGAATCTGGTCCCTGGGACCCAGATTCCCATCTGGGAACCTCTTTAATGGTGTTTGATCTTTGCTTCTTGTTCAGTACTGACACTACCCTCATTCCTTCTTTTGACTTCAAACTCCAAAAACCAATTTATATATTTTATCAATTCAATTCTTCCCTTTCAACTACTTGAATTTCGATCTCAGCTACCCATCTTGATCTTGATCTCATCTTTTAGCTTTGGACCTACAAATCATTACCTTATTTCAATAACAATTTTGATCTTGACTGTTGATTGACTTCATGACATTCAAGTAAGTTTCCTATTCAGTCTCTGCTCTTTTCCAGACTACTGACTACTTATATTGTTTTTTATGTATCTAGAATTCAATTTTTTTGATTCTTGTTTTGTATAGATTAATCAATCAATTTTAATTTCAATCAATCCTTGCTCAATATTCATCAGGTTCTCATCTAGTATTAAGCCAGGACCTCAAAATCGATTTTTTTTATTCTATTGTAATTTTGATGATGATCTTAAATTCAGGTATGTATTGAAATCAATTTGTTATCTTATTTGATTCCTTCTTCTGAATCATACTAACTCCTTCCTTCCTTTCCCCACTCTCCACTTGACTTGACTTATTTATTTGCTTATTTCAGAATTCAATTTTGGCTGTTTTTTATAGATCACTTGTTTGGAATGGCTCAATCTATTAGGTGAGTATTCATTCTTTATTCATCAATTCTAATCTTATTAGTGTAACATCAATGTTGACCATTTTTGATTTTGACCCCCTTCTCTTAGGTATGTATTTCATTTGATATTTGATTTTATTTACTTTTCTTCAATATGACTTTTGTAAATATTTAACTTGTTTATATCTTGATTTCACTTATAAAAGTTTGGTCAACTTTTGTAATAACATCTAGTTTGATTGATATAGTATTGGATTCAATAATCTTAAAAATAATCAAATTAACATTAAAATTGATCTTGAACTTCTCCTCACTTGAGCATTAAATTTGAAGACAGATTGATGCCAAGACTTGAGATTGACTTGATGAGAGTCCAAGCCACAGAGCAGAGAAAAAATACCAAAGAATAAAAGATGAAAGAGTCTGTGTCAGCCCTGAGCCCTGTGTACAGGACCACGGACTAACAAACACACATGTAAATATATGTAATACATATGTAATTATATGAAACTTGTCTAAAACCATAAGAATTACAACTCATGGCTCAGTTTCAAGAGTCACTTAAGTAACAAGACTTACTAGGACTTAACTAGTAATAGTAAACCTAACCCAAACCTAACCCAAACCTAACTCAAAGAAAAGCAAACCTAAGCGCCAACCACAAGTTGACGCCTAGATCTGGAATATATAAACTCCTCTTCTTCCCACTCTAGAAGAAGGACCAACTGATTATCATTCCACAATTCCACATCACAACTTACTTGATTCTTACCTAGAATATTGAGTATAGTGATTTTATTGTATTTGATCTTATAGTTCTACAACCTTCCTCAAGCCCTTGTAAGCTTTAAAGTGGTGGTTCTAAACTAGTGGGACTATATAGTTATAGAACCAAGCTTTAGAATTGCATAGGATACCTCCTGAGTTGAGTGTAAAGTATCCGGCGGAACCTTTGAGCAATCAGAGTGTAAAGTTCTGCAGGCTCTATCCCCAACAGAGCTCTTGAGTAAGCTCCTTTGAAGGATTACTCAGCCATCCCACTGGCTTTAAACCCTCTCCTTAGAGGTCAACTAACTGAAGTCTTTACTTGTGTGTACCAAGTAAAGACTTTGTTAATCTTTATTCCACCCGTACTTCACCTTTTTAGTGAAGAGTCAGCCAAAAAGTAGCTGACCCCTCACAACTTGGGGGCCTCATCCGGTTTTTGTTTCTAAGACCTCTTTCTGTCCAGTTCTCATTTTTTTTAATTTTTACTTTACTTCTATTTTATATAATAAAATTAAGAAATAATACAAAAGATATCTATTTCCTTTTTTTTTTTAATTTAGAATTTACTCTTTTCCTTTTATTTTTTCCTTTTATTTTTTGAGATCACAAGCATTGACCAACTTTTATTTCAAATTTCAATTGCATAATCAAAATTCTTCTTTAGAAGAGACTACTCAATTACCTTGAAAAACACCCTATTTTTTAAATCAATT